GGTTTTTTTTTCCAGTGCACTTACATCGGAAATACAGTATTGTAGTGATTTTAAGTTTTCGCTATTAACAATCTACATGAGGAGATCCTTCAGCACATTAGTTAATTAAAGAAGTTGTAAAATCATTAACGGGATCTTAAAAGTTCCGATAATTTCGAAAAAGCTTACCCGCGGCGCACTGTCACGTTGCGGGCACATTTCGAGCGATTTTTCTTTTAATCCGCCAGTGTTGAGCGTAGAACGGGAAAACCTGGGAAACAGGTTTTCCAGGTCTGCAATGTGTTGTTCGGTCTGTAAAATGTTTATGACCGAAGATCAAGGGAGAAAATTACTTCTTAACGATCGGAACTTTCTGCCTCCGACCAGGCTGTGAGTGATAATGCGCCGTCGAAGTTATTTCCGAGAAATGAGGGAGAAAAAAATATGTTACATCAGTGCGCAGGTAAACGAACTTTCCCGTAATTACGGATTAACTCCAGCCTTGGTGATCCCCAACAGCTTCGTGGACGTTTTTTAGATGGAATGTGACCTGCCAGGAATGCGCCATTGCGCGAAAATCGACGCGCGAGTCTGAAGTTCGTCTCAAAAATCACTTTATTCTAAAGTCAATTCGTAGGACGTGATCATTAGTCGTTGTAACCGGAGAATATGGATTCGATCGACATGAATGGATCGGGAAAAAAAAACGGAAATCCATTGGCAGCGATTTGATCAACAATTGATTAAAAACCGGTGTCCATTCAATTGTTATGAATCGATCGAAAAATAATAACATGAACAGATCGACGAACCCGTGAATCGATCGAAAAATTAGAACATGAACAGGTCGACGAACCCGTGAATCGATCGAATCGGTGTCAATCGAGTCGCTGTCGATTTGTTCACGTTTTTATTTCTCGAAAAATAATAACATGAACCGATCGACAAATCCATGAATCGATCGAATTTCGCCGATCGAATCGGTGTCGATCGAGTCGCTGTCGATTGGTTCACGTTATACTTTTTTCCATTTATTTATGTCGATCGAGTCGCTGTCGATTAGTTCACGTTATACTTGTTTTCATTGATTTATGTCGATCGAGTCGCTGTCGATTGGTTCACGTTATACTTGTTTTCATTGATTTATGTCGATCGAGTCGCTGTCGATTGGTTCGCGCGTTATACTTTTTTCCATTGATTTATGTCGATCGAATCGATGTCTGTTTTTTAATGAATTGTCGATCGAATTGCTGTCGATCGGTTCACGTTTTTATTTTTCGATCGATTCATCTCATCGACCTTCCGCACAAACCCACGCTACGCCGCTACGGCACACATTATCAGTTTTTAAATCGTTCTTGCATCGCGCACCTGTGACAATTCGTCATAAATCATACACTGGAAGAAAAAAACACATTGGATGTAGAGTTCAGTGTCTTAAAAACATCGACAAGAAAAAATACCCTTGATTCAATCAGATTCAAGCTTAAATCAAAGAACCAAGCCTCTTAATCTCAGCGGATTTCCTTTTGATTTAAGCTTAAATCTGATTGAATCAAAGGTCCATTTTCTTGTCAATGTTTTCAAGAGTCTGGACTCTAGATCCAATGTGTTTTTTGTTTTTTGTTTTTTTTTCTAGTGTGAGGTTAACTTGGCAACCTCGTCCGCAAATTTTCTCTATCGGAAAATGCCACCACTCTATGTAAAATTACAGGGAACCAATGACTTTCGTTCCTTTTTTACCGAAGTATAAAAACCATCTCATTATTAGTTGCGTTATCACGTGTGGCGGTAACCACCCGCGCAGTCGAGTCAGGCATCACTTAACAATTGAAACGGCCCGATAATGCTAGTGCCACTGCGCTCATTGACACACATAACCTCCTTATCGTTCTCGTAGTTACCGTCATCATCGTCAAACTACTAATTTAAGCTGTCAGGTCCTTTCAGAGTTTTTACCCGTCACATTCACCCCTACTTGCCTCTGTGCGAGTAGATGCACTGACCTCATAGTCAGCATATTCTCGCTATTTCAAATGGTCTGCGGATATCCACAATTTAAGGAATTTCGCACATGGAAGCATGGATCATCATCACTCATGGATTTCGCATCATTTCGAATTGAACACCGGCAAAACAATTTCTTGAGATATTAATTTGACTTAAAATGTTTCTTGTCGACAAAATTTGGCTTTTTGTAGTTAAAACCGTGCGGATGTAACATAAAATGTAGTTTTTTGAGTTAAAAAAACGTTGTTTTTCTAACGTCTTTAACTTAAACTTAACGGAATGACGCCGTGATATGTATGCAATATGACGCGATGAGTACGCAAAGATTGACGTAGTTTCAGGCAAAACAACCGTACTTGAGTGACATTATTCCTCCGGAGAGCCAATGATTACAGTACTTCAAGTAAAATGACGCCTTTTTCTGCCAATTTCTAACCTGAAAATGTGTTTGTTGTGTGTCCAAAACGCAACCACGAAAGCATGGAGAAGATACAGCACTTACGGCTAACTTGCCCAGCACCAGTCTAACTTTAAAACGAAAAGTACCCTTTTTATATCGCTGAATTAAAATTGGTCGATTTTTAATGATCCAAACGATTTCTTAGAGTCTCTCGGACGAAAGGGGGCAATTTGACAAAGAACGGAGGCTTCTTTCAATAAAATTTTCCGCTCAAACGGTAGTAAGCACATTTTTTCGAAACTTCATGTTTGCCCTCACGGCAGAATAAGGTAATATGAAGGTAGAGCGCCGAAAACCGGACTGTTTGCCCCTGCATGTTCACGTGTAGGCCACCATCCACGCACAAATGAACTCCACTAGAGAGAGCTTTTCTAACCTGCGCCTTCGATCGATCCAAGCATCAACAGCCGATATCCTATTAATGCGAGGGTTAGAGGAGATACGAATTTACTGAATAGGAGTGAGAAGCCTCAAAGCCCGCAGTGCTAATGGGCTGGGGTTACCATAGGTCTCCGTACATATTGAACGTTGATTGGCTCTCCTGTCCAGTAATATCAGAACTTCCGGAAACGGTACGATTATTTGAAAGTTGGTAATACTCTTTTTCCTCCGTTTAAATGTATGCACAACAATCGATTCTTAGTGAGAATATCGATACTTTTAATGGGTCTAAGTGACGGAAAAGTAGCGTTGCCAACTTTCAAAATCGCCACCGCTATCAATATGGTTCAGAACTTGGGCTTTATATTCTTTTCGAGCTAGAGAAACCCCGAGAACTCGGAAGATGTGCTTCACGATTATATTGATGCATTGATAATACCAAAGTTTTCAAACACTTTGGAAAGTATGCAGATTTTCAATTTGAAAAATTTTCGAGGCGCTTCAGTTGAATTTCACGAAAAGTTATTTTAAATTTGTTATTGATTCATCGATTGATGTGCCATTTAAACCTATGGAAAGGGATCGATTATCAGGGTGTTCTCAGCGAACACCTTAACGATCGATTCTTTACCATAGCTTCAAATGGGAAAATATCCAAAACCGATCATTCACGTCTCGCCACTGACTTGAATGTTTCCTCGCCTGAGAAGTAACGAATCGTCCTTCTTCCGACTTCAAAAATTCGATTACAACTTTCCGACAACAATTCCGACAACTTTCGATTATTGAAATTGATAGACACAGCAATAGACAAAGAAGACAAAAAGGATGCGGAGGGATCCTATTAGTGGAAGCTGGTGATTGCAATGGACAAAGGCAGTTGGTAATAGACTAACTAACGGCAACCCACGAGAAACCCGACAGCTAATCCATCATTTTCTCCCTTAGTCTTTAAAAACCACACACTTCAACCAATAAGATCGCTCCATACCCCCTATGTCTTCTTTGTCTATAGCTTTGTCTGTCAATTTCAACAATCAGCCCGCTGGTGTCAAAGGCCTCTCGTTGCTTGTCCAAGTCACTCTTCATATCTGACTATAGCGGGCCAATTTGAAAAGCGGAAGGATCCGTTTAATTGACGGTGACGTACTGAATTACTGACGTGGGCCTTAATTGTGTGTTGCAGATGACGAAACACGCGTGGGACAGCTACGTGCGGTGGGCCTGGGGGAAGAACGAGCTGCGACCCCTATCCAAGCGCCCCCACCCGGGCAGCGTCTTCGGGACGACCCCGCTCGGAGTGACCATCGTCGACGGCCTCGACACCCTCTACATCATGGGCCTCAACGAGGAGTACAAGCAGGGACGCGACTGGGTCGCCCATAACCTCAACGTCGAGGGCCTAGTAAGTTCATCGTGTCTATGACCGGGGTCAACTGGGGAAAATTGGAATTCATCAGGGAATGGAAAATTTCAGGGAATCTCTTCCAGGAACTGTCCATGGCCGGGATCAACCGGGAATGAAAATTTTCAGGGAATCTCTTCTAGTAACTAGGATGTTCATAACCAGGACCAACCGGGAAAAAGTAGAATTCGTCAGGGAATGAAACATTTCAGGGAAAAATCAGCGAATCTGTTCCAGTAACTAGGATGTCCATGACCGGGATCAACCGGGAATGAAACATTTCGGGGAATAATCAGGGAATCTCTTCTAGTAACCAGGATGTTCATGACCAGGATCAACCGGGAAAAAGTAGAATTCGTCAGGGAATGAAACATTTCAGGGAAAAATCAGGAAATCTGTTCCAGTAACTAGGAAATCCATGACCAGGACCAACCGAGAAAAAGTAGAATTCGTCAGGGAATGAAAAATTTCAGGGAAAAATCAGGGAATCTGTTCCAGTAAGTAGGATGTCCATGACCGGTAACAACCGGGAAAAACGGGAATGCATCAGGGAATGAAAAATCTCAGGGAAAAATCAGAGAATTTGTTCCAGTAACCAGATTGTCCATGGCGGGGATCAATCGGGGAAAACTGGATTTCATCAGGTAATGAAACATTTTACGGAAAAATCAGGAAATCTGTTCCAGTAACTAGAAATCTCCTCTTCTTTCGCCTAGAGACCATGCTGTCTTCAAATTTTGCGGAATAAGTACCTGTTGCCATTAAGGCTTATGTTATTGCCAAGGTTGCCACAGTCAGGGATTACCGGGAGAACCGAGAAATGTCGGGAAAAATAACGAAATTTTCAGGGAAAATTGTTGGGCCACCTTTATTTGCCGTCTAGAATGGGTTTGACTTTTCGAACAACACATTTTGTCAAAAAACTGTTCCTAATAATGTCTTATTAACCATCTGTCATATCTTCAAACGTCAGGGAATCTTACCAAAATGTGTCAGGGAAATGTCAGGAAATTTTATTTTCTAAATTCTGCGACAGTCCTGTAATGTTCGTGAGTCGCCATCATTGACCAGATACTTTTAACATCAGGAACGGTTCTGGAATTGAAAATTCAAATGTGCGCCGAAGAATCGTCCGAAAGAAAGATGAAAAAAATTCGATATTCGTTTATGGAAATCCGGAGGATTATGTAGTTATTCCCAAGACGATCAGTGGCGTGGCGTGAATTGCGATATATCGATTGTTATGTCATTTAAACCCATGGTAAAGAATCGATTATTAAGGTGTTCGCTGCTAACACCCTGTTTATCGATTCTTTCCCATAAGTTTAAATGGCATAACGATCGATGTATCGCAAAGCACGCCACGCCACTGAAGACGATCCCGGGGAAGTGGGAGAAACTTTCGGTTTCTCATCAAGGAAATCTTTTCTTGAAAATCAGGGAATGAGCGCAGTCGAAAATTCCAGACATCGTCGATAATAACCGCTATTTCTTTCTCATACTAATGCTGCAAACCTAGGTCTCTCTTTCTTTCCTCTTCTGAGGTAATAAGTCTGATCCCAAATAAGAACACAAATAATGCTGTTAGCATCCTCAAAGTAGGTACCTACATTGTAAATTAAAGTTCCTGCAAAAGTGATCTGCACTAATTTGTCCTCCCCCTCTTTTTTTTCTGTTTCAATTAGAATGTAGATCTGTCTGTATTTGAAACTAACATCAGGATTGTTGGAGGACTGATTTCTTGTTTTGCACTGACTGGCGACACGCTGCTCCGTGATAAAGCAGAGATGGTGGCGAAAAAATTGCTTCCTGCTTTCCAGACGCCCACTGGGATCCCCAACGCTCTTGTCAATTTCAAAACTGGGGTAAGACCAATGTCTAATGCGTATTATTCATTGTAGTATGAAGATAGCACCTTGAAACTTCCATTGTTTAGCTTTTTCATAAGTAGCCTATTCAAACACTGTATAGGTAGTATTTTAACACATGAAGAGTAGTCGAGATAAAAAAAATCAACAAGTGAGGTACTTCGTGAAATTACCTAATTTCCAGTTAGTTAAACTTATTTCTTGAATAAAGGCGTTCTGTTTTAATGTGAAGATTAGTGCTAATTATTAAAAGCAACGTTAAGTAATATGGTTAATTTTACCAAACTAACACTTTTTGTCATCAAGAAACTAAAATTCAGAATCATAAAATTGAAATTTCTGTGAAAAAAAGGCAATTAATTCGAATTTCTGAAAAAAAGAATAGATTAAAGATCATGAATTGGCAGTTGAAATTAATTCAAAGACATAATGCCAACCTTCAGGCAAATAGTCCTGAAGGATGTTTTCGTAAGTTACCCTCAAAAGTAACCTATCGGTACTCATGTGCAATTCAAATTTCTACTGTTTACAGGTAAGTAAAAATTACGGCTGGGCAAGCAGTGGTTCAAGTATCCTTTCGGAATTTGGAACACTTCATCTAGAATTTTCCTATCTGTCAGATATTACTGGCAACCCAATCTATCAGACAAAAGTTGATACCGTGAGGAAGGTTCTTCAACAAATTGACAAGCCTCAGGGACTCTATCCCAATTATTTAAATCCCAAAAGTGGTGTTTGGGGACTTCGTAAGTATCTCCGTTAAATTATTTGTTTATAATTTATTATTCAGAGTTTTCTCTTAGATGAACATGAAATAAGTTTGCCACCTTATTTTAAAATTCTCAATTTTGCATTGCAGAATACTTCTCCACTGTTGTTTGAGTTAAGTGTCAGCTCAATGTGCAAGAGATAGATATTATAATGCTATCTCTTTCTTACACATCTGGTCAACAAGTGAGGTCCATTATGGTAGTCTCCGATATAAATTTTAATGAATCTCACTGAATGAATCTTCACTTTGATGTCATACTACTCTCAATTAATGCTACTACCTGTTATGGATAAGTTTCTTGTGATAATATGTGCGTTTCATTAATTATTGTTCTCAAAAGGCAATTTAGCAGCGGATCTCTGCTGAATGTGTCTTCCGGAAAATGTCTCTTCTGGGAACCCTAAATCGAAGCCGTATGAGACTAAACGTTAAGTCTTCAGTCAAATCGAACTGGAATTTTTGCCTTCAGTCTCATTTGGCTTTAACATAGGGTTTTTGGAAGAAATTTTTCACCAATAGACTGCTGATGTATGCTTCTACACTGTCGCATCTCTTTTTTTACAAAGAGCATAGAGCAAAATTAGTATTTTGATAGAATTTGTTTGATAGGTTTATGGATGTTTGTTTACCTCCTGCTAAGAATTGCCTTTAAGTCATATCCTCCGAAAATCTATCATTTAAATGATGTCATTTTCTTGATATTATTTCCAACAAATTCTCAATCAAGCAATCAGGTTGGAATTTTTTTTGCTACCTTGATTACATCAGCCATACTTCACTCAATGCCAACAATTGTCTAATTGCTTTCAATTTTTCTTTTTTTTTTCAGATCACGTTTCTATTGGTGCCCTTGGTGATAGTTTCTATGAGTATTTACTGAAAGCCTGGCTCCAGTCAGGGCGAGAAGATACCGTAGCCAAAACAATGTTTATCGATGCCATGCAGGCAATGACTAGGATACTTTTACAAACATCCCCCGGGGGCCTTATGTATTTCTCTGATATGCGCTTTGACCGTCTTGAACATAAGATGGATCATTTAGGTTGTTTTTCTGGTGAGTTTCTCATCTTCAGTTCTTTTACTTGTGTATCAAGCTTGACGAAAATATAAAGTCTGCTTTGCGAAGGAAAAGTTCTTCACAATTTCTGCTATATTTTCCATTCTAAATCTATGATTGAGTATAAAAACATTATTAGAAATGTTTCAATAACATGTTCTCTTGGATTGAACAGAACGATCTCCATCACATGTATCATTTAATTTCCAAGTTTAGGGTGAACGGTTGATGATTATCCCACCTCAACTCTCCCTAAAAAATAGAAACCAATGTCAGATAGTAGTAAATGAAGCTATATAAATGAACTGATCTTTGTATTTTTAAAAAATACATCTGTAAATGGTTATCTTTAAAACCATCTTACCTACAAAAAAAAAAAAAAAAAAAAAAAAAAATTAATGTTTTGCAAAATTGCAAATTATTGTTACAATTTCAACTCTTCCATCTTAACAATATTGTAGCAGAATATGCGAAGTAACTTTATATAAGATTTGACACAAATATCTCAATTAGAATATTTTAAATTGTGCTTCACACATTGCTTTTAAATTATTACTCCCAAGACCTATTATGAAGACCAAGAGGCAAAAATCCAGTGCCTATATCAGCGACTAATTGAATGAATCCGTTGAACATGAATCAAAAGGGAGTTTGAATAACAATGAAAATTGGAATGCAGTATCCAAAGGAAGGATGAGATAATCTAAAATTATTAATGTTGTTGTGAATATGAATATGTGACTGTGTTTATTTCACAATGATGACTGTTTCAGGTGGTTTGATGGGATTAGCTGCTCAGACATTGAATGATAATCACTCAAATCGGTACATGGAGATCGCAGAGGGTATAACTAACACTTGTCACGAATCGTACGATCGGTCTGCAACAAAATTGGGCCCAGAGTCTTTCAAATTTTTGGAGAATGTAGAAGCTAAAGCTATCCGAACAGCGGACAAGTATTATATTTTAAGGCCAGAAGTGATAGAATCCTATTTTATAATGTGGAGACTGACAAAAAAGCAGAAGTACCGAGATTGGGCGTGGGAAGCTGTCCAGGTAATGAACTTGTTGAATCTTCATCTGTATCCCTTTCTTTTCTTCTTCTTTTTTTTATCTAGAGCTACCTCGATGGCGTATGCAACCATGTATCTCAGTTTGTGAAGTTGCAGACTTCTTGTCATACTTGATTTTTGAAATGGAAAACTACTCAACGGCAATTCTTAAAATCTGGTGTGATATTTCTTCTCTGTGCGAAGAAAATCATGCCAAAACTTCAAGGAATAATGTCTATTTGTTCTCCTTTAAAAAAATAAAATAGGAGCGGAGATTTTCAAACACCGCAAAATGAGATATGTGGTTGCAGACTTACACCATCAATATCTTTCTCTACGTTGGAGGGGACTAATCTACTTGAATTTTTTTTTTCACATGGACAAATTTTTTGTAAGGACTCTAACTCCTGCTAGAATTGATGTAACTTATTTAAGTACAATTTTTGCGTACGTTTCTGGTGGTTGTAAGTAGGTAGAGTTCTCCAAATCGGATCAGTTTTTTTGTTTACCAATTATGTAATTCTAGGAAAAGCCAGTGAATCTGAAAAATGCTTCGTATTGTCAATGAATTTTTAGCAGGAGAGTCAGCTCATGATGAGTGAAAGCTTGACTATAAGGTTGAGGGTCACATTTATTGACTTGATGGATTCTAAAATAGTCTCTCAGAAAATCCATACATATTCTAAGAGCAAAACCCTATTGAACAATTGGGCGTATTTCTATCAAACGAACCCAAGCGCCATAGGGTGCGGAAGGTAGAGAGGGGCTTGGATTGGCGGCGGAATCGGGCGTCCGGCTTATTCCGTCCTATACTTGCAATGCTTTTCCATGGCGCTTAGGTCTGTTCGACAGAATGCGCTATCCGGGATTCTAAATTCCTCAAAAGGAACTCAAATTGGTGCTTAGTTCCGTTTGATAGAAATACGTCCAATTTCTCTTTCTTTTTCGTAGTCACTGCTGGATCACACAGTGGTTGTGATTGATAATCATGAATGGTATGCTAATAACATTTTCATTTCTTGTTCACAGGCTATAGAAACCTATTGTCGAACTCCAGACGGCTATAGTGGAATAAAAAATGTGTATCTCAAAGAACCTACGCAAGATGATGTCCAGCAAAGCTTTTTCCTTGCTGAAACATTGAAGGTACTTTTATTTTCTTCTGTATTGTTTCATTCTTTTTTATTCCAAAATTTATAGCTGAGATTTGAGAGCTAATATTTAACCAATTTGCATGTGATGATCAATTTGCCTGCTGCTCTCAGAAATACAATGATGTTTTTCAATAAAAATACCTCATTGCTCCATATGAAAAACAATCACTTGTATTCATTCAGACTAGAAACAGATACTCCAGAATGCTGATAGCCCTATCTATGCAAAAGTTGGAGAAACACAATAAAATAAATCGCCTAGCAACACTGCGAGATGGCACGACAGGTTTGGAATCCCTATATGTCCAGGCGTGCTGTGTCGAGTATGCTCGTAAATTTATGAGAACGGATTAAATATTTTTATCAGTGTGTGTACCATGTTTTCGTTTCATAGACCCTCTGTTGTTTGAAGTAGTGAGTCTTAACAAATTTTTTCTCAAGACACCAATGGAATCTCAGGAATAAGAGCAAACTTTATTGATCAATTGAAAAAATGCAAAATCTTAGTTCCAAGAAATTTTTAGACAAAAGTTAGCATGCACTTGCAGTGAGTTTGCCATTAATTTAGTTTTGTCAGTTCGGTGTCTCTCAACGCCAGTTTACTGATGTAAACCTCATGAGCTGGATTTGACACCTGTTGCACACATGTCAGGCTCATGAACTAGACTTGGCATGCACCCCCTCAACTTTTATAATGTAAAGACCTGAATTTGTTTTTCTCTTTTTTTTGTTGTGGATGGTCGTGTGTTCTTTCATCTTGTTTTACGACAAACTGTGTCCGGATATACATTTTATCGCTCACTATTTTCTTGGAACTTAAGCTTTTAGAAAATTTTATCATTTTTTAGGTAATTTCAATATCTTTTATCATGCAGTTTCCGGTGTTAGATCTTGATTCCTAATGAAATTCGTAGCTAAATTTTTCCAAAATACTTACTTTTAAAATGTCTGTGATTTTATTTTAACACTGCCCTTGTTTGTTGTTTCAGTACCTGTATCTAATTTTTAGTGATGATAGTCTAATATCGTTAGAAGAATGGGTGTTCAACTCGGAAGCGCACCCTCTTCCTATTAAAAACTCGAACCCATTCTATAGAGCCAAACAAATGGTCTCCGTCGGAGCGTAACCTCAGCTCGTCTTTACTTTGTGATCGGAACGTGTCCACTAAATGTAACTTCCTCTAGTCGCCATTTTGTAAACATTTTTATCATCTTTCCTTCTTTTTTATTTATTTATTTTTTTTTTAGTGTTTTAAGTGTTGCCTTTTTGTTAAAAGTTTAATTTATTAGCAGGATTGTGTATTATTCTCTTTGTTTATGATTTCAGTCAGATCATCTTTGTTATACAGTTTTGTACAAAGTAGCGAATGTTTGTAATTTTAGCTGTTTTCTATTTCAAGCAGTTTCATCACCAGCTCTAGGATGCTTCAGTATTTTGGATGAAATGAATGGAATTTGGAAGATTTTAACCAATAATTGTGGCTAGCAAAAGGGTCGATAGAAAAGAAATATTTTCTCTTTAAATATAGATCCTGTTGCGAATGGTACCCCAGTCGTTAGCTTAAATCTATTGTTTAAATTTTTAAGACTCTGAATTATCCTTTCAAAACACTTCCTTAAAATCAGTTTCTTTGGAAATTCTATGGCCTTGTAGTTGTTATTTTTTAAGTTACAATTTGAGGAAAGCTATCAAAATTCACACCGGTTTGTGTATTGGGTTATCTAGAGCTGGGTATGGAATCTTGTTGAATTACCTTCATTTTTTGTTGATGATCTAACAAATCACAGTATTTTCCCAAGTCAAATAAAAAAGAGGCGTTCTAAATCATTGATTCTATGATGAGAAGTTTTTTTTTATTTTTTTTTTCTTTCTTTTGCATATGCATTTTTGTATGCTTTTAGTCGCACCGGACCCATCTTATTGCGTTGTCAACATAATTAGGGTATGCTATTCTATCATATTGTCCGTAATTTTACACTTGGTCTACAACACTAGAATCAATTTTACTTTGCATTTAAGGCCTAGGAATTTTGTGTAGCTTTTAAGGAATTTGAGCTTGACATAAATATTGAAAAAATCAGTATTTTAGAAATTTTAAGGTGCCAAATGTTATGAAACGTTCAAAGTTTAAAGATATTGACTGTGTTCTTAACGGCTTCGAGTTAATGGACAAGACTGGCTCCTCAAGTGTTGATATTCTGAAGTTTTTATTGCTGTTCTTTTCTCGACTGACACCAAGTTATGTATTGACGTATAAGTCGTCCTTTTCCTCGTTGATTGCCCTCAGGCTTTTAAAATATGTATGTGTGTTGCCCTGTGCTGCATTTTTCACTTTAACTGCATGAAGATTAATTTGCAGATACCTCGTTTGTCCTTGATTGTAATACGGCCATAATATTGTTATAATTACTCTCAGTAGAATCGCAATATATCCTTTTTGTAGGCATGTTTCCATAGATTCCAAAAATTATAATTTCTAGGTTTTCTCAATATAAAAAAAGTGAAAGATAATGTTAACTGTTTAAATGGCCCTACAAATAGTTTTTGGAGCTTTCATACAAGCTCCTATTAAATAAGTACATCTTCGCATGTGCTTTCTCTGGTGAATTTTGGTTGTATTCTTATTCGCCGATGACAGTGATGTGATGTAACTTTTTGAAGCAATTTTGTAAAAAATTTTGTATTTTATCGGTTTAATGCAAAATTGTGGCTTTTGTGAAAATAATAATTTGTTTCGAATCTGAGTCACCAGTTTAGTCAATACAAGAGTGTGATTAACGATGGGGTTGTTTTTTGAGTCTGAGTTTGATAACTTCAGTTGAAATTTGAATATTGATGGTGAAACCATCAGACCTTGTATCTCGGTTTGTGACGTTGCAGACTTCCTGTCATACTTTATTTTTTAAATGGAAAACTACTCAAAGTCGATTCTTGGGAAATTCCGTGACTTTAAAGCTTTGTGAAAACCTCTAGAAATGATATTGATTTGTTCTCCCACAAGAAAATAAAATCGGAGCAGAGATTTTTCAACACCGCAAACGAAATACATGGTCTGGTAGTCTCACTGTTGATATTACTGTGATATCTTGGGTTGGTTGTCTTTCTTAACAATACCTTTAAAAGTAAAATATTTTCACCAATACAATATTTTCACATTGTGGTTTGTTACTCTCTCATAAAAAGATCTGTAAACAGTTATCAGTTTATAAATTTTTAATATCCCAGCCTTTCAAAGAAACATCGCCTTTGTAAGGTAACTAATGACTGTCCTGATGAAAGTTATTGTTGAAAATTTAAAAATTGTTTGACTACTGACTCTTTATATTCAACATGGTTTATTTTGCTCTGTAAACTCAAATAATAAGTTACCCAGAGAAGCATTTTCTTCCCTTTTTTCTGAACCCACTAACCCAACAGCCACACAAAATTTCTGTCTTGTTATTTCCAAAAAAATTTTTTCCCATTACATGCTGAGGACAAGGTTTTTTTTGTTGAAAATTGGTTTTCAGTTGAAGTAATTGAACATTATTATTATGCTAAATATTCATACCATAGTGATTTATTCCTGTATCATTCCATGGAAATTGCTAATTGACAGAAATATTGTCATTAATTTTTTTTTTTTTTTTTTTATTTCAGTCAATCAGGTAACCGACCCTTGCATGGTGAGAATGTTGATCCCATAAACATATCTCCGCAAGATTTTCTGCGTCAAATGTGTGTTCTGATTACATATTCAGTCTCAGACAAAAGCCAAATCTATTGCAAAATAATTGATCCACGCCTGATTGATTTTTTATTTTATAAAATCATTTCTGAAAAGGCATGATACTGCCCTATACAAATTGCTGTAAATGGTGACACATGCTTTATGAATTAATAAAGTTTAACATCATATCTGATAATATTTTAGTCAAAATTCAGTTTAAATTTAAATTTACTGTCTCCTGATTCACTGCTCATTTCTGTATATGAGTTTTTCTTTGTTTTGTTTTTTTTTTATTGCGACTCATATTTTATAGAGACTTTTTAAGTGCAGAGGCTCACAGCCATTCATGCAATTTTATTTTACAGCAATACTGTAAATCCTTTGCCTTTGTATGCTTTTAGCTAGTTTTTTAAAACTTTTTTAAGGATCTTTTTCAGTCATTCATCGTTTAATTCTTGACTAGCAGCTACTTTTTTTTAAATGGAATATTGATAAAGTGAAGATCGCCTTATCATTAGATCCTATTAGGTAGGTAGCAATTGATATTTGCGGTAGGTAGCTACATCTTTTATGATGGCATGGGTCACCATGTTATCAATGAATAAACGCTGAGTGAATTTTCTAAGTCTTTCGAATGTTCTGTTTTTAACAAAGTCTCCTCACAAGAGAGGAGTTATTCTTTCAGAAAATTGTAACAACTGCTCATCAGTGCTGATGTGCTATGGGAAAAGGAGTCCTATTTCTCATCCCTACCTCCAAACTTTTTTTTTTTTTTTTGGCCAGAAAGAGGTTATTGGAAAAATCAAGATCAGAGTAAGTTTCTTAATTTTTACTTCGTTTGTGCTGATATTAGTATCAGCTCGCAAGGATTTTTGTCAATCGGTTGGATATTTTTCTTTCCACCCCTTGTGTTAGGCAAGATTCAGAACTGAATATTAATTTGGATGCTTTCGTGAGTAAGGATCCCTTTTTCCATTGCACATAGCGTATTTTTGTTTATTTCTGCTTTGTTCTTTGTTTTGTTTCATTCGTGTTAATGTAAATATTATGTAAATACCCTTAATTTTTGTTCATAAAATTTGTGAATACAATATGTAAGAAGTATAATCCTTGTCAGTATCTTCCACTAATCATTATTACCACAGCAAGTAGTTTTCTTGTGTATCCATAGCAGTTTTCAATGTCTAGAGAAATTATTAAGTCCATAGTTTATAACAATTTTCATTAATTTATTGAGTACCTAACTGATTTTTTTCTTTTTTTTTCTCTCAACCAATGATGGTTTAAGACAATCTATTTTTCCACTCTTATATTTTCCTAACTCTAAAAGTTATCTGTCTTTGTTTTGTTTTTTTTCAAAAGCTGCTGCTCCCGTTATAAATTAATTTGTCTCTCTCAAAATAGATTAAATATTCTGAGAAAAATAAAAAAAATTTAAGAATTTGCAGAGAGAGGATGTTCAACGCAATATTTCAATCAAAAATAAATTAATCAAATTTGAAGTTTTTGGAAGTAAAAACTAAAAACCATCTAAAAATATTTTACTCTTGATTGTTTGTTCTATGGCTCAAAATTTATTTACTGCAAAATTGTTGAAAGTGCTAAAACGTAATTAAGTTAATAGCTCAATAGCGCTAGAGAAGTGTCATGTGCCCTTTTCCTGAAAAATCTGAAAATGTTAACATTTTGTGTTTTGATAAAGTTTGTAACATCAGTTGTCTCATGAGTTTTTAAGCAAGCACTCAGACGTTTTTCTGAATAGCAATTTTGAAAAAAAGAAGAAAAAACTTGCCGTAACTTTAAAAAATAAATATTAATATTCAAAGTAAACAAAAGGGCAAACATAATCCACTCTAGAGGGAACTCTGGTCGCTAAAGACAGCACATTTCACTGATTGCCTTTTTCTTCTTCACATGTTAACCCAAGAGCGAAAACAGGAATGATTTCCTGAGAATTTTGTCGCTATAAATTCAGAGAAGGCCTAAAAAAGAGATAAAATTGAAGCTCAAAAACTTCAATACTTTTGGGCGAGTTAGGACCCTTGTAACTGTTTACCCTATTTCATAGTGCAGACCTAGCAAAATCAATTTGATGTGGTCATTTTTTTTCAATCTTCACTAAACTTATCTTCGAAATTAATTGACTACTTGCCGATTAAGGACCAATTCTCAAGCAGTGTGACAAAACTTTTTTATTTGTACTTCTCCTCAGGAAAGAATTTACCTCATCTGTCAATCTGTATTTTAATCTTTCAATTGAAAGGATTGCGTAATAGCTGCTCTAAAATCTAAGCATCTTTCCCCCAATTTCCAAAGGTATTTTCTTCTCTCCACCTTTAGTTTGTTACCACTGCCTCGTTCCGGTTAGATTGTCAAACACAAAATTCTATATAATTCACTTTGCAAGCGGCTTTAACATTAGCTCATCAGTGTGAGGAACGATGAGAGATCTCATTCTCTTGCTCTCTCACTTGGTCATACATTCTTAGCTGCTTCGCAAATCAATTGTGTATTTTTTCTCTCTTTTTGTGATCCCTCTAAGTTCACATTACGTATGTAGATCTTTTAACATTATTTTTTCTCAGCTTCAGAATTATGTTTAGTTCATGATTACCGTTTCTCTCTTTAACATTTTGAAATCATCGCATGTTGTTTTTTTGTGTTATCAATAGCAAATTATTTTTGACTTTCCTGTTTTGTAAATAGTGTAAACTAAACGGACCTGGCTATTATATCAATAAATTACCTATTTTCAAATAAAATAATCGTCCTTTTAATTATTCACTGGCCATTATTTAATACTGATCATTGTACACAAAATAGGAGGTATGAATTAAAAGAGTTGATGAGTCAATAAGAAAAAACACCTTGCCAGTCAGCCATCACCCAGAGATATTGGAAGGAACAACGAAGGCGGAGCTAAGGTCCAGGTTCCCTCGTAATTTGTAGCGAGTAGTGCCCCGCGGCAGAGAGAGCTGGAGTAGTTTGGCGAATATGGGATACAGGTCCACAACGTTGAATGGAGGCACAGTTGTGTTTTGTTTCAGTCCAGGTCCATACGCCATAAAGAATGGGTACATGCTTGGTTCGTCATTGCTGTAGCCATGTATACCAAGTTCACTTTTTGGAGTCACTGTGAAATAATCAGATTATTACAGTATGTATTCATTGTATTCATGTATTCAGTCAAAAAAATTTTTGAAGGCGTCTTACATATCGAGGTATTAATGGACATCCTCCCGATAATAGTATAGTATTAATTTTGTAGCTCATTGGCATGTAAATGGATAATGCAGGTACCATAAGGTGGGAGAATTACAGCTATTCAATCATTCAAGTGAAGGACCCTAAAACGAGAGTTCTGTCCATGTGTCAAAATGTGTCTTTCTTGTCACTACATTGCTTTATTCCTTCCTGGTGCCTTTACCCAGAGTTTGCTCAGTTCGGAATTTTTTCCATGAGATTCTCCAGAAAAAACCCCATCACTAAATACAAAGAGATCCTTTGATAATATTTTTACCTATGCCACAATATTTGAAGACCTTAAATCAATAACTGCCAAGTGCCAAAAAAATGAAAATCGAGTTAGACCTCGAATAGGGTTCTATGTACCAAGGACAGCAACATGTGAAGCGGGCTGAGTGCCACGACCATGATAGTAGTGTGCAGTGTGCGCCGATAGGTAGCGGTACGTGATACGTGCCGGGCAATCTGTGGGAAATAAATGTTGAATAACTGAAACTTGACTTTTTGGCACTTAGCCCGTTATTGAGTTAAGGTCTTCATTTTATGTACGTCGTTTATGATTGGTCTGAAAAAATCATAGGTAATTTATTTAAGAGATAAAAATCGAAATTTTGAAGAAAAATATTGTGGACATCCAAGAGAAACCATGAAAACAAACTCTTACTAGTTATTTTTTCCGTTTTGCTGTAATATTCGATGGCCTTCATCAAATCTTGAAAACCGTATCCCAAATCAGCTACAGCCAGCATGTCAGAGACTCGGGCATTGTGTTTGTAATGATACGTGTCTGGGATCTCTTCTCTTAAGAAAATCCTGAAGTGACCGTTGCGTTTCTCTCCAGATTTAAGATCTGCATAAGTTTTATTTATCAATGCTGTAATCAAAATCACAAGCAAATTACTTTTAAAATTTAAGTATGCTTTCTAGGCATAGGAAAAGGAATCCAGGAAATGAATCCAAATTCTTTTCATAAAGAATGAACTACACATTTCAAGTCCGTTAATATCAACCTACCTCCCTCCCTACCCCCTATGTCATGATATCTTTGGACCAACATGATTACATGTTGGGCTTTTTGAATGTCAGGTGGGGCAGCCCCCAGGGGGTTGGGCTCCTTGGATGTCAGATGGGGCAGCCCCTGGGGGTTGGGTTCCTTGGATGTCAGGTTGGGTAGCCCCTGGGGTGTTAGCTCCCTAAAAAACTCTTATCACCATACTGAAAGGCGTATCCTGTTACCTGGGCCTATGAATTGCCTTCAATTAGCCGGTTATGCAAAATGAGTGTCGTGACGTACGTATAGTTGTATCAGAATTTTACATGAAGATTACGCCGTGGATTGAAGGCGCTGTTGTGTATCCTATCTGAGTGGCCCTGTCGAATGATGTTGACCATAAATGCTCATAATTTGTGAGTCTTTAAACGAGCCGTAATTTTGAAAAATGCCCTGAGAACATTCTTCTGCATTTTAGGATTTTTTTTTTCTGTAATTCTTATTTCAAAAAAGAGAGCCCAAACGCTCTGTTCAGACTGTGGTTTTTCCAATAGAAAAACAATTTAAAAAACGGGTAACAAGGCTAATTGGATTACATTTTGCAATAAGGAACCACTACCTCTGGCTCTTCCATAAAACCATGTATTTGCATAGAGAAATCAATGGCATATATATTGTTTCTAAAATGAGCCAGAAATAGTGGTTCTTTATTGCAAAATGTAATCCAATTTTCAAAAATAAAACCACAACGTTTCGGCTGAAAACTCAGCCTTCGTCAGTTGGATTAAATAGTAAAATGAAAAATGGTAAAAACCTAATGTAGTACCTAGCTGTACCTTTCAAAGCGAGAATGTTGTTATGAAAGACACATTTTACTTTGGTTTTTAAGTCTTCTTGCTTTGGTCATCGTATTCTCATGCAAAACTGAGAGTCTCCGTTTACAGGATCGCAACTTACTTAAAAACGGTTGTGAAATTACTATGTTTCGCACAGATATAATGAGCTTTCAATCAAAATTAAAGTATAGGTAAGGATACTTTGTCCACTGGTCCATTTGAAAAGTGTAGAGCGTGGTCGGATGGACCATGGATGTTAGGGTGTTCCGTTTTGAGGTGACCATCTCAAAACCTTGTTCCCCGGGTTTTTCCCATTCCTTCAGATCCCCAAAAAATAATTATGAAGTTTCAGCATCATAGTTGAAGTCTACACACTCCCCCAACTCCCCCAAAGCGATTAAAATTTCGGGAAAAATTACATTGGTTTGAATGGAGAACTGCGGGTTTTTTTTTTTTTTTTTTTTTTTTTTTTTTTTTTTTTTTTTTGGCTATAAAATGTGCCCAAATGATTTCAAACCTGAGACCATCTCTGAGGCAGACCTCTAAAAGCCTATTTCAAACAAGAAAATACCACTTTTGACCTAGAGATGGGGGTTGGGTATAGGTCATGGCACAGTTGGTTTTGAGGTGCTGCACGTAGCAAAATGATCGTATTTGACAGTTTTTCATCAATCTCAAAACAGGTTTTCCGAAATCGAGGAGGCTAACATATGTACAATTTGTTAAAAAATAATGTAAAATAGTTGTTTCTAGCCCTTGAGAACTATTTTTGACCATTCACTCTGTTGCCAAAATTACTCGAGCCTAAAAGGAAATTAATATATATTGTATAGTATACTTGAGTGATTTTGGCAACAGAGTGAATAGTCAAAAATAGTTCTTAAGGGCTACCCTGGTAAAAATTGGCAATAGGAGCTGCGTTTCAAAATATCATAGGAGTTCTTATAGCCGACTGAAGAAGGCAATAGAAAATCATATAGCTGGCTGTAGAAAGTGGAACAAATCATACGGCCGGGCTACACGAAGCGATAAAAAATTAAACAGCCGGGCTATAGTTCCTGTCGCCGGGCTTTACACTTTATCGCCTGGCTGTTGCTTTTTCGCCATCGGCTATAAAAGGCTATAAGAAATTGTGTAGAAATGCGTGTGCTTTGTAAATCCGCAAGTTTGTACGGAATCACCATAATATTTACAAAACTTTTTTTTATTATTAATGTAATTTATTATATTTTCCTTTACAACATATTTGTTTTCATCAATTAAAATGAGAATAATCCATACAGAGTGTGCACACATTTCAAAGTCATGAGTTGAACAATGCTGACTCCACAAGATTAAATATTAGAGCCTCACACAAAGCGGAGCGGCGGCGCACTGGCGCCTACAAACCTAACAGGGATACTTCACGCACTGCGCAATGCGTGAAGTATCCCTGTTAGGTTTGTAGGCGCCAATGCGCGTTCCGCGCTGGCTGCCCGCCCGCCGCGCTGCACCGCAGCGTACCACGGCGCTTGAAGCAACTATTTCACACCAGAGGTATTG